CCCCGGTGTCCACCATGGCCCGAGCTGTACGTCCATTGATGGAGATGTCTACATACTGCGTGCTGAAGTCTCCTGGCTTCTCCGTCTGCTTGGCTATCGCCCCGCATAGTCCAACCATGCCCAACTGCGTCGTGCCCGCGTCTTGGCCCTTGCTCCTGTGCGTCCTTTTCCTTCCGTTCGCGTAGGATGGCACCAAGGTTCTTCATCTCCGGGCACCTGGCATAGCCTTGTGGTCCACCGCATATGTAGCAACCATCTCCCTTGGTGGTCTGCGCCTTCTTCTCCATGTAGTTCTGGCGCACGAACCGTCTGCTATCTGGTTTGTGGGGGTCGTGCTGCTTGGGGTGTGCCTGCCGCTCCTTGCCTCGGCTACGGTCTCTCCCACCTTTGGCATGACTGCTCCTTGCATCCTTGCTCTTTGCCTTGTCATGCCGATCATGCTTAAAAGACTCGGCCTGTGTGATGGCTTCGTCTATGGTCTTGACCTGTCGCCGCTCCAACTCCGTCTTGGCCCAATTCTGTAACCCGTCCATGAAGTGGAACAGCATGTCTTCGTCTGTGAGGTTGGGAATCTGAAGCGTTAGAGTTGTGAACTCTTTCACGTACGCCCGAATGCTTCCTGTTTGCTTCAGCTCCCTGAACTTGCGCTTCACCTCATATATGACGTTGTTAGGGAAGAAGGCTTTCTTGAATTCTTCGCGGAATTGCTCCCACGTGTTGATGGTGCAAGTCCCCTTCCCTATCTCGGCTTCTTTGCGCCTCCACCACAGCATGGCCATCTCTGAAAGATACAGCACGGCAGTGTTGATCTTCGTCTCGTCACTCTTCACCCGGCTACACTTGAAGTAATTCTCCAAGTGCCATAAGAAGTTCTCCACCTCTTGAGCATCGCGGATGCCTTTAAACATAGGTGGCTTGGGAGCCTCGACCCTGGCCTCCCTATCACGGTCGGGTGATGCGGATCCTCCAGCTTCCATGCCTTCCTTGAGTGTCCTCATTTCGGCCTTCATGGTTTCAATGGTGTTCAATGCCTCCATGAGTCGGCACTCCAAGGAAGTGATGGCCTCCTTCATCTCGAACTCGGCCCGCTGACGTCCCTCCAACTCCTTACGGATGTTTTCGGTCTCCTCAAGGGTGAAGTCTTCAAGAGTCTTGAATTTGTCATCGGCTACATTCATGCGCCGGCCTAATATCTCCACGGCCTGCCTGGCCACTTCAACCCTTGAGACCCACTCTTCTCCTGCGGTGACGTCGATGGCCCCTTTGCCGTGTTCATCGTCACTGACCTCGGTGGTCGAGGGTGGATGAGATGTTAGCGCCTCGCTTGGTGTAGGATCCAGCAGCATTTCCTCAGGACTCTTTTGGTGCTTCTTTCCCTTTCGGGACTTCTTTCCTCCATCCGGACGGATGTTGGTGGTGCTAGCGGCGTTTACGTCCCCTTCGGTTGCCATTCCCTTAGTGCAAACCTTCGCTCTGATACCACGTTGTCACGGACTTAGAATATTGGCTAAAGTTCCGTGCGGCCCTTGGCAATTTACTCGCTACTCTTTCAAGATCTTGTAAACTCAAGGAAGCCTTTAAGACTTAGATCGCTAAGAGAATGCTTAAGGAAAGACTTAGAAAGAAGAAAGAGAGTTTTTGGAAGAAGGCTTTTGTATTGCTTTGGAGAATGCTTTACACTTGAGTGATGCCTTTGCAAATGAGTGGCACCTCTATTTATACTACTCCCTAAGGACTAAAGTGCAATTAATATTTACATGATAAGTCCCTAGAGTATTTACACATTGGCCCCTTTTCTAGAGAATTCTACATAGCCTAGAAGTCTCCAAGGCATTCTAGAGTTCTCTACTTGACTCTAGAAACCTCTACGCCTTCTTTGCTGCAAAATTTGGCTCTGATAGTGGCGGGACATGACACCAGGCTCTATGGAAGGAGGTAATTTACCACAAGTATGGGCAAGAAGGTCACTAGTGCACTAATGAAGGGAGTGATACATATGGAGATCAGGTGTGGAGGATCATCAGAAATTATTGGATGGACCTCAAGAACAACACAAAGCTTGCAATGGGCAGGTGGGACAAGATCAAGTTTTGGATAGATGATTGGTGTGGACAAGAGATCTTAAAGAACCTATTCTTTAGACTCCTCTCAATCTGTTCCAATCCTGACAAGAGAATTGAGGAGACGGTCTCCACAGGGATGGAATCTTGTCTTTAGAAGACTGCTAAATGATTGGGAAATTGCTGAGGTGGTGGAAAATTGTTGAAACAGAATGGTGGATTACCTGATACTAATCTGGAACCAGACATATTGGTATGGGGACACCACAAGGATGGGGAGTTCACTGTAAACAGATAATATATCTGAGGAGTATTAGGAAGTGCATGTAGAACTACAGGCCCATGGAAAGAAATCTGGAAGAGTGGCTCCAACCTAAGTGAAAAAGCTTCACTTGGCTGGTAGCCAGAAGAGCCTGTCTGACTCATGAGGCACTGTAGAGGAGGGGTACCAACACAGCCTCTGGGTGTTTTCTGTGCAAAGAGGCTCTGGAGACCAACAAGCACCTATTTCTCCACTGCATTGTAGACAAGGTGTTCTCTGTGCATAGAGGATCTGGAGACCAACAAGCACCTATTTCTCCACTGCAAGATACCAGCACAGGTTTGGGCTTTATTTACCAGCATAGCCAGTGTAAACTGGACTACTGAATTATGCCCAAACACTCAGGAGATTAATTAAGCTGTTGGATTAGAAAGGAGGTAGCTAGAGTCAGAAGAGGTGGGGGGGAACAGTTTCAGCATGCATCTGGTGGAATATTTGGAAAGAAAGAAATCAAATATTTTTGAGAAAATAGAGAAATCCCTCCCTTGCCTATTATCGGATTCTCAACTAGACACTTATACTTTGCGGGGGGTCCTATTACCCCCCTGAATTTTTTAAAAACTAAATATATACAACCCTAAAACTAGACAACCACATTCTCAACATGTAGTGATGCACACTTGCTGCCAGTTGTCATTTTTTATTATTTGTATTTATTTTTCTCTCTTTATCCCCTTTTTGATTAATTACAAAAAAATCTTTATTCTTTTAATCGTTCTTCTTCTTTTCCCTTTTGTTTTTCATTCCCTTCTTCCAAAGCAGTCACCCAACAACAACAACAACAACATACCCAGTGAAATCCCACTAGTGGGGTCTGGGGAGGGTAGAGTGTACGCAGACCTTACCACTACCTCGTGGAGGTAGAGAGGTTGTTCCCGGGAGACCCTCAGCTCAAGAACATCAAATCTAAGTGACAGGAGAGATATATATAAAACATAACAACCAATCCAAAAGATAGTGTATAATCAACAAAAGATACAATAACATCAAGAAAGTAATGTGAGGAGTGAAACGCAGTAAACAGCATACGGCACCTTGACGAGCTTGATTACTCATCTCTTTTGAATTTTTTTATTATGTTATTTATTTGTCTCCATGACACCAAATTTGTAATATTTTATTACGGGTTGTTGATGGTTAAATTCTTGGGTCTTCACCAAACAACAATAGAGATTGAAGATAAGATCTGATAATTGATGTATGCTACTGACCAAAAATCGATGAGAAGGTAGATTAATGGTGTTGATATTTTGAACTAATTTGAGATTAATAAAAATGAATAAAGATGGATGATGACCCAGATCATATACCCAAAACTCATGTTTAGTTTACTGTATGAAATCCATGATCGAAAAAATTTATTTTACAGTCATAATTGTTTTAATTGAATGGATTTCTCCATTAATAATAATAAAAAAATCCAGTAATAGAATGAATTTTTATGATGGAAGGTGTTTAATAAATCTATTCTTTTTTTTTTGTTTTGAGTCCAATCTTTCTTCTTTTGTTTTTTTTATTTTGGTCTTTACTCTGTGAAGCAAATTGTAAAGAAAATATTAGAAGATGGATAAAAAAAGATGTGGTTAGTGTAGTGATGGTGGTTCAAGGTGGAGGAAATGGTGGTGGGGTGAATGTTGAGTAACGAGAAAGAGAGGGGAAAAAAAAGAAAAAGAAACAAAAAACTTAGAGAGAAAAGTAAAAAAAAAAAATTAACAAAAAGTCAAATTAAAATGTTATTAAAATATTTTTTATCAATTCTTTTGACTTCCACATGCCTCCAAGAGAGTGAGGACACTCTCTGTGCCATGTCAACATCTAAGGGTGTAATTATTCCGTTTTAAAATAGTCTAAGGGGGTAATAGGACTCCCGTAAAGCATAAGTGTGTAGCTGGAAATTCAATAACAGGTTGAGGGGGCATTTGACTATTTTCTCAAGGGAAAGAATGTACTATACAAAAGATTAAGTGGAAAGCAATCACTTCTTTATTGGTGTAAAGAATAGGAGATCCAGCTACTGAATTTTATAGGATCTTTGTAAGTATTTATGTCTTTTCTTTTCTCTTGTAACAACTTTTTGGAGGTGGCCAGCATAGCCCTTAATGCTGAGGAATATTAAAGTTACCAGTTCCCAAAAAAAGGACTTTTTATACTTAAGTTTCCAAGTTCGAACGTGCGACATCTTGCTCCATCTTAGGAGATGTTGATTGTGTTAATTAATTAGCATGATTTTAGGAGACTTTATTTTTCCTTTTCCCGGTGTAATTAAAAGAACAATTTTTTTCTTTTGTTGTAATTGATTGTCTTTTCTTAATTAAGTCAGGATTCGCTTGTATAAATACCCCTTCTCATGGAACATAAAAATATATTGAAAGACATAAAAGTCTTCTCTTCTTTCTCAAATTCTACAAATAGAATTCATTCCGTGAACATAAAGTTAAAATCAAATAGTTTGTTTCCCCTGTAAGAAAGGACAGTGTGCTGCACAGTATTTCAATTTTCAACAATCTGACAGTTCACATTCATGAATATTCACATGTGACATCGTCTAACAAGAGAAAGAAGAAAAGAATTAATGAAAACAAAATCAAGAAAATAAGCACCGTAAGTTAAAAGTGTACCTGTAATGAGATTGAAGCATCAAATAAAGCATAAGGTTGAGCTCTAAGAACAGCAGCATTTTCTGCATGAACTTCTTTCCGAGTTAGTTCAGGAAATGTTGCTCCCAACCAAGAGATTGCCAAATTTGAGTTTTTCACAGCTTTTGAATTCGCTGATTTCAGACCAAACATGTGAGCATCACTATATAACTCCAGTACAGATTCCCATTTGTACACACTGTTCCAATAGAAAGCAGCTACTTTGGTGAGATTAAGTGAAGTATTACGACCTGCCACTTGCACGGGCCAAAAATAGCAACATAGGGCATAAGGAGAAACATATGCAAATTAGAAGTCTTGAGGAGAATATGAAAATGAGACACATGGGAGGAGGAATAATTGCTCTTAGGGAAAGGTAATAGTCTATGAGATCTCTTATATAGACACACACGAGTATCAAAAAATTAGGAAATTAAACTATAAGTTGATCAAGTTTACAAGTGAGCCAAAATAAGAAAATGCCAGAAGCATTATGGAAAAAGATATTGTCTTTTTGTCAGCTAATAGAAGTAAAGACCTTAAAAAAATTCATATCACTTCACAACCATCATATTTAAATTTCTGTTCATAAGCATCTCCTAACAAAACCTCACGATTAGCAGCATTATGATCTCTGGCAAATTACCTTCCAAATGGAACAACAGGACATAGGATGTAAACTGAGCCATCACTAAACAAGACGAAAACCTGCATAAAATAATATAATTACTCAACTTTCACATACAAAGCTAATGATGGTAAAACCACTTGATCATAACCACCACTGCCAGGAGATGGATTTTAGAAAATAGACATTAAATCTGCTTACACTATATAGTGATACACTAGTTCCATATATTGTTATCACCAAACATATCAATGCAGCTACGATTCATAAACTATTACCATGCCATTTCTTTTAATTTTTATCATCCAACATATTCACATAGTGAAAAGATCATGATTCACTGATGAAGTCTATTCTTTTAAGTCCCCAGAGTTTGTCAACAGGGCATCACCACAGTATACCTGAGCTTATAAGCACTATGTCTATGATATAATGGAAAGGTGGTAAAAAATTATTCCTCCGTCCTATTTTATGTGATACTTTTCGGATTTCGAGATTCAAACAAGTCTAACTTCAACCGTAAATTTTTCATAGATCTTTTAAACATTTTGAATTATCAATTGTTGTGACTTATAGTACTTTTTACGTAGTTTACAAATATATAAATTTCATTTCAAAAAAATTGAAGATTTCATGCGCAAATTCCCGGTCAAACTTAAACTGTTTGACTCTCGAAAAACGAAAAGTGCCACATAAATTGGGACAAAGGGAATAAACTAAGAATGGCTCAATTTTTTTGCACAATTGAAGTAGTTAGTGGGCTTCAGATAGGAGAAGATGTGTTGTGGTGGCTGGGCAGTAACAATGGTTCCTTCAAAGTTAGTGCAGCTTACAGAATGATGAACCTTTTTTTTAACTTGGAAACTTTACATAATGATGAACCATTCCAATCAACAAATCAACTACTGGCATTGGAAGCTCATTTGGAAAACTAAAATACGACACAAAGTAGCTTGTTTTGTGTGGGTCTTGGCGAAGGAAACAGTCCTTAGACAGGACAATTGGATGAGAAGAGGGAACCATTTATGCTCCAGATGTTTCTTCTGTGGGGAAAAGGCAGAGATAGTTAATCCTCTATTTCTACATTGCAAGGTTACAGGACAGATTTGGAGAATATTTTTAAACCTTAAGGCATATCTTGGACTATGCCTGGTAAAGTTTCAGAGGCACTCAAGAGCTGGCAGGAAGTAGGTGCAAGCAAAAGACAGAAGTAGATGGAGAACTGTCCCTGCTTGCATCTGGTGGACCACCAATCTGGAAGGAGAGAAACTCTAGATGTTTTAAGAATGTGGAGAATAATATGCAGAAAATCAAGCTGAATTCAGTCTTCATCCTACGTTTTTGGTGTAATCAGATATCGTAAAATGGAACTGCTTCTATGATTGATGTTTTAGATTCAATTTAATCATAGGACAGTAGAATTTTGTAACCTCTCTTGAATATATGATTTTAGTACAACCCATGTACTGTTTTGATCATGATTTATATATACATATACACTGTTACCAGTTGCAAAAATAAGAATAGAACTTACACTGAACCTGTCCCACATATGATCACCCCCAAAAGAAAAATCGACAGGGCAGATTGCTGTAGCATTGTGCGAACTGCCAGGCTCCACGAGCTGTAGATAATACTCCTGCTCTGGCTGGTCAAGGGCCGAAGACAAATCAAAAACCCTGAACACAAAGTAATACATAAGTAAATATAGCACAATGTAATTTGTCAATAAGTAGAAATAAAACACAGTTCTCTAATCAGCAAGTGATTTAACATGCAACTGATATATTAAGAAAGTCGTAGAGAACAAATGGAAAAAATTGTCTCACCAGTGGAAAACAAACGAAATGCTACACAGCTATTCAACAAGCTGAGAACTACAAGCCCCAAAAATATTGATCATTTGGACATGCACACCCAGAGAGAAGGGGAGGGGAAAAGAAGCTACAGTGTAGATGGTGTCTGTGAGAAGACAAGAGTTTGAGAGTGAACTCAGATTGATTATTCCCACAAGCTATTGTGGTTTAAATAGCTAAGTATGCATGTCCTAAAAAGGAAAGGAAACAAATACCTAATCAATCCAAATCATTATCAAATCAAGCTAGAGTAAATCTAGGAGTAAATCAAGCTACCTACTATATTTAAACATAGTTAGAATATTCCTAGGATTTTAACATTCCCCCTCAAGCTGGTGCATACAAATTATATGTACCAAGCTTGTTACATATATAACTTGTTTTGGGACCAGCTAGGGACTTGGTATAACTTGACTGCACGAGCCTTGTGACTATGTCTCCTGAAAGTACCTTTTCTCTAACAAAATGACAATCAATCTCTATGTGTTTGGTCCTCTCATGAAATACTGGATTCGATGCGATGTGAAGTGCAGCTTGACAAGTTCCATTCCTTTGGTATCTCCAAGTTTCAATTCCTTCAGCAGTTGCTTGATCCATATGAGTTCACATGTTGCCACTGCCATAGCCCGATATTCTACTTCTACACTGGATCTAGCAACCACATTTTGTTTCTTACTTTTTCAAGACACCAATTTTTCCCCAACTAGAACACAATATCCATAAGTGGATCATCAGAGGGTGACCCTGCCCAATATGCATCTGAATATCCAACAACTTTCTCATGTCCTCAGCCTTCGTAAAGAAGTCCTTTCCTTGGAGCAGATTTTATGTATCGAATAATGCGAATAACTGCATTCCAATGACTATCACAAGGAGAATTCAAGAACGGACTGACGACACTAACCGGGAAGGTAATATCAGGTTGAGTCACTGAGATATTCAACTTTCCTACCAGCCTTCTATATCTTCCTGGATCGCTAAGAGGCTCCCCCTACTTGGTAGGAACTTAACATTTGAATCCATTGGAAAATCAATAGGCCTGCAATCCGTCATCCCTGTCTCTTCAAGAATATCAAGTGCATACTTCCCTTGTGAAATGGCAATTCTTGATTTGGATTGAGCAACCTCAATGCCCAAGAACTACCTCAATCAAAAAGAGCTGGAAAAGGTGATGTTTCAATTTGGTAATTCCCTCATCATCATTGCTTGCGATAACTATGTCATCAACATACACTACCAAATACATGCACAAACCTGGAGCAGAGTGACAATAAAAAACAGAATGATCAGCTTCACTTCGTACCATGCCAAACTCCTGAATAACCATGCTAAACTTCTCAAACCATGCTCAAGGAGACTGCTTCATGCCATAAAGTGCTCGTCGTAGTCTGCACACCATGTTGCTAGACTCCCCCTAAGCAACAAAACCAGGTGGTTGCTCCATATATACCTCATCTTCGAGATCTCCATGAAGAAAGACATTTTTAACATCCAACTGGTAGAGAGGTCAATAACGAACCGCATCCATGGATAAAAAGAGACGAACGGAAGCAATCTTGGCCACACGAGAGAAAATATCACTATAGTCAAGACCAAAAATCCATGCATAACCCTTGGCCACTAGTTGAGCTTTTAGGCAATCAATTTGTCCATTGGGGCCAACCTTCATTGTATATACCCACCGATAAGCAACTGTAGATTTATCTAGAGGTAGAGGAACAAGCTCCCAAGTACCACTAGAGTTTAAGGCAGACATCTCTTCAATCATAGCTTGTTGTGGATGAGAAAGATCTTCACATGTAGTATTAGGAATAGACACAGATGATAGTGATGATACAAAGGCAGAATGAATCGGTGACAAATGATGATAGATCAAACAAGTATAGATAGGATTAGGGTTACGAGTAGAGTGATTACCTTTTTGAGTGGCGATGGAAGAACTCTATGTAGACAAGTTCTCAGCCGACAAGGATTTAGGAGTAGGGCGTGAATCATCTCGGCGCGGACAACGATGATAGGTTAATAGTGGTGGAGGTGCCAAAGAGGAAGATAGAGTCAAAGGAGATGATGTGGAAGGATAAACTATGGCGGGATCACCAAAAGATGGAACTGGTAGATCTGACCTTCAAAAAGAGTAACATCAGCTAACAAAGGTATCGCTGGAGGTCCGCTGAGAAGCATTGATATCCCTTGTGTACCCTTTGACCGAGAATGACACATTTAAGAGCACGGGGAGCGAATTTGTCTTTTCTTGGAGTATATGGACAAAGCATGTGCTCCCAAAGACGCGTGGTGGAAGAGTGAATAAGGTTGACTTGGGAAACAAAACAGAGTGTGGTACCTTATTATGAATAGCATAGGAAGGCATACGGTTAATCAAATAACAAGAGGTGAGCACTGTGTCCCCCCAAAATCACAATGGAACATTTGCTTGTATGAGAAGAGTGCGTGCAGTCTTAACAATATGCCTATTTTTTCTCTCTGCAATCCCATTTTGTTGTGCAGTGTAAGGACAGGATGTCTGATGAAGAACTCCATGGAATGAAATAAATTGTTTAAATTGAGATGACAAATATTCACGTGCATTATCACTACAAAAAATGCAAATAGAAACACCAAACCAGTTTTTTATTTCAGCACAGAAAGTTTGAAATATGGAAAATATTTCAAAACGATCTTTTATTAAGAACATCCAATTACACCTTGAGCAATCATCAATGGAAGTAACAAAATACTTAAAACCCAGTGTAGAATTTTTTATTTTTTTATTTTTGAAACTGGTAAGGTTGTATTCTTCAGCATTAAGGGCATGCTGGCCACCACCAAAAAGTGTCAATTACAAACTTCCTATCAAATCTACAATCTGATCTGTATCTACTATACACAACTGTTTACACCAAAAAAGTAGAGATACTATACAATTCCATTCGACCTTGTGTATGGAATTGGATCTATTGTCGAAACATCTACTGTTCCTTTCCTTCCAGATTGACCACCATATACATGATGGTATTAACCTCCACCATCTCTTCTGGCTCTTGGTACCCCCTCTCCTTACCCAGCTCTTCAACACGTTTGATGTACGTTCTGGCATTGTCCAATTCAGATTTGAGATGCTAAGGAACAAATTCTAGATTTGAGCAGTGTAATTACAGTGCAAGAAGAGGTGGCTGTTAGTTTCACTTGTCAAATTGCATAAAAAACACCTAGGGACCAGCTGTCTACCCTTCTTCTGAAGTACTTCTTGTGTTAAACAAGCTCTCTTTATCACTAGCCAAGTGAAGCATTTCACTTTTGTAGGAATATCCCCCTTCCAAAAATAGTTCCAGAGGTGTGTTGGTCTCCCTGCCATCACCTGGAGACCTCTTCTGTAAGCATTGTTGACTGAGAAGAGGCCATCTTTGCTGTGCTTCCACAGCATCCTGTCTGTGGCATTTGCATTGATGGTCACTCCGCCTAGCATCCCTAATATCTCAGCCACCTTTTCCACCTCCCAATCATTGAGAAGTCTTCTAAAAACTAGATCCCAGCCCTGTTCAGTCCAGCAATCGCCAACATTGGCATCAGGATTTCCACAAATTTGAAAGAGATCTGGAAAGAGATCTCTAAGAGGGGATTGGTCTATCCAAACATCCTTCCAAAATTTTGTTTTAGTGCCACTTCCCACCTTGATATATAAATTTGTCTCCATTTGTGACCACAAGTTTCTAATTGATCTCCATGCACCCACACCATAAGGTTCTGTTGTGATCTCTGTACACCAAGGGTTTAACTCACCATATTTTGCTATGATCACTTCTTTCCAGAGGGAATTTCTCTCTTCAGTGTACCTCCACAACCACTTCTTCAATGGGCTCTCATTCTGTAGTTTCAAGTTCTTAATTCCCAGCCCCCCCTCTGTCTTTGCTAAGTAGAGCAGTTTCCCAGTTTACTAAGCTATAGCCTTTTCCATCCTTGTTGCCTTGCCATAAGAATTTTCTCCTTAGCTTATCCAGATTTTCCACTACTTTTCCTGGGATTGGGAATAGAGACATCACATAAGTGGGCAGAGAATCAAGAACAGAGTTTATTAAGACCAATCGTCCTCCAAGTGAAAGATATTGAGCCTTCCATCCAGAGAGCTTCTTTTCAGTTTTCTCCAAAATGCCATCCCATATTTCCAAGGCTTTGTGATTGTTACCCAATGGCATGCCTAGATAGGTGGTAGGCAGCTTCCCAACACTACACCCTAGTATGCCTGCCATCTCTTTTATCTCTTTTATCTGAGGTACCTCATTCACAGGGAAGAGACTACTTTTTCCCCAGTTCACTTTCAATCCAGAGACTGCTTCAAAAAGTACCAGTATCACTCTAGTGTAGCTTATTTGTTCTTCTATAGGATCACAAAGGATGATGGTATCATCTGCGTAGAGCATATGACCAATTTCTCTTTCTTCCCTCCCTCTGCCTCCCACTTTGAAGCCTTTGATCCATCTATTTTGTGTAGCAATCCTCATCATAGCATTAAATCCCTCCATTGCTAGGATGAACAGGAAAGGGGAGAGAGGATCACCCTGTCTCAGTCCCCTTTCTGATTCAAAAAAACCCACAGGTTCTCCGTTCACAAGCACAGAGAACTTGACAGTTTTGATGCATGTCTCAATCCACTTCAGCCATTTGTCCCCAAAGCCCATCTGGCAAAGGATATTTAAGAGAAAAGACCAATTTACATGGTCAAAAGCCCAGTGTAGAATTAATTCTACTAGGACCCCAAATATCATAATGACTAGATGAAAAGGAGACTCTGCACGATTATTAGGACTACGTGGAAAGTAGCTCGAGTGCTTCCCCAATAGACATGACTCACAATCTAACTTAGACAATTTGGACAAGCTAGGTACCATCTTTTGAAGTTTGGATAAACTAGGGTGTCCCAATCATCTGTGGGATAAATCAAGAGAGTTTGAGATTGAACAAACTGTAGTGGATTTGTGAGAATTGAGATAATAAAATTCATCTGACTCATGCCTTTCGCCAATCATCCTTCCCGTAATGAGACGAAATAATTTAAAGCCTTAGACAAACAACTTATTGACTAGAGGTTAAAGGGACAACCGGGACAAAAAGAACATTATTTAGAGCCAAGGAAGGTAAGGGATTGGCTTGACGGACTCCAGCTGCCATGGTCTGAGAACCATTAGCTAATGTAATGGTGGGAAGGGACTGAGAGTAAGTATTATTAGACAATAAACATTTGTTACAGAAATGTGGTCAGGTATCCATAACCCAAGGGCCAAGTGTGGTGGACTGTGAGATACAAGCAACAGGATTAACAAGATTACCAAGATTATCAACTTGGGCAACGGAAGCTATTGATGAAGATGTCTGCTTACTCGCCTGATACTGAAGAAAGTCATTGTATTCTAACTCGGACAAAGAGAACAATTGATTGGTAGGATTACCAGTGTATTCAGTTTGAGCAACATGAGCATTCTTTGGTTTACCATGTAGAGAGTAGCACACATCACGGGTATCCACATCTTGGTTGTTGTTTCCCATGCCGGCCTCTATGCTGATTTCCGATCTGTAATGCAGTTTGAGATGCTAGGACAGAAGAATGTGCAGGTGGTACTAGATGACTAGATGACGTAGGTGGTGCTACTAGTCGTAACAATCGAGCAAACAGGTCATCCACAACAGGAACAGTAGAGTTAAGCCAAAATTTGATCTCGCACTAAATCAAGATCAAATGGAAGTCCAGCAAGTGTAACAACTAGAAACATATTCTGACGCTGCTCTAATTGCTTTTCAACATTTGGAGTAGCGGGCATTAACTCATTCAATTCTTCCATAACCACTTAAACCTATCCAAGCTAAGTTGACATATCTGAGTCCTGTTTTTTACTTAAACCTATCCAAGCTAAGTTGACATATCTGAGTCCTGTTTTTTAAGGTTAGTCAACCGAGAAATCACATTATAAAAAGGGGATATGTCATTTGTGTATAGCCCACGAGCCTTTTCCCAAACTAAGAAGCAAGTTTGGAATGGTCGAAAAATGGCATCAACTTTGAATCAATAGATTTCCATAACAGACTACACAATTGAGCATCAATTCATCAATTTTCTCCCATTCGCCCCTATCGTTTTCAGTAATATCCTTGGCCTGTTTAACCAAATGATCCTGAACACCTTGTCCCTTGCACCATAATTGAACAGAGGAGGACCAAGATAAATAGTTTGCACCACTTGTCAAAGGTTTTGTGGTGATGCCATGGTTTGTGTTGGTGGAACTCACAGATTTAGTGCTAAACATATCGGATCCGAGAGACATGAAAAACAGATCTATAAGTGTTCAAAAATAAAGTAAATTCTGGGGGAAAACCTGAAGAACAGATCTGGAAAACTGGAGAACTGCTTGCTGTCTTGCCGGAAAAAATCTGCCAGAAAAGTTGCTGAAAAACACCACAAACTGCGAGGATTCCGATTGTAATGGTGGTACTGGTATATGCACAATACCCCTGGAGAGTGTCGGAGTTGCAAAACAGTGGAGGTTTTGTTGGAAAAAAAATTCTCAGCAATTTTGTTCTCTTAATATTTTTGTTTTCTCACTAAAGAAAGCTCTGATACCATGTGAGAAGACAAGAGTTTGAGAGAGAACTCAGCTTGGTTATTCCCACAAGCTATTGGGGTTTAAATAGCTATGTATACATGTCCTCAAAAGGAAAGGAAATCAATACAAATCAATATCAAATCAAGTTAAGAGTAAATCTAGGAGTAAATCAAGCTACCTACTATATTTACACACCTGCTATGGAATATTCCTAGAATTCTAACAGTGTCGTTCTATGCAATAGCATGGTTCTACTGAATCCAACATTTGGGCTCCACATTTAAATGGATCCAAGTTGTCCGAGTTATAACCTCTATCAACATGCATTACTGCAAATGAAAAGAACAACGTCAATTTGTCTTAATGAGCAACAAGACAGGTGAAATTACTGACAGCTCACTTCCAGATATAAGGTTCTATCCTCTTTGGTATTTGTTGATACTCCTACTATTTTTCGGCTCATCAAGTCCAAAAGGATTAGCTTCTTGAAAGAAATATAATGAAGTATTGCATCTCACTTAGAAATTTTAGAGAGCTTTCAGATGGCCACAAATAGACTCATGTAGCAGACCAAAAGCAGCATGCTGTTCTCCACAAGTCTTTTGTTTTAGAAAACCTACCTGTACAACTTAGGGAACTGTTTATTTTAGAGATATATCATTGTCATTTGAGGGTTTGAACTAACAGAAAGAGGTTTCAGTTCGTTCTGTCCTTTCCATTTAGGGTGCACGTTAAAATGTTCCCCAAAAGAAGCAGATCATGGACAATTAATCTAATTTAATAAGCCAATTGGATGACATGTTTGCCGTGAAGAGTTCTGCGCCACAATTATTTCCCCATGTGGAAGTGGCATATATATTGAGAGCTCAACAACCATATAGCACTATGCACCAAACAAAACCTTCCACTAGAACACCATGTCCCGGTGATATATAACACCATATCTCTTTTCTGTTATTGTTTATAAATTCCTTTTCATGTGTACTGCAAGATGCACTTTCTTTTGTACTAATTGCCTCCCGAAAAAGATTAAAGAAATGCCCATAGTATTTTCTAAAAGAGAAAGGCATGGGGCTTTTTTCTTGTTCGGTATCCAACAATTTAAACAAGCAAATCTTCATTTAGTTTAGAATTCCATCTACTCCTATAAGTTTCAAGTTTGTGAAATCCTTCTATTCTCTTATAACCAAATTATATCTACCGCAACATGCTTTCTCACATTGTCTACTTTATGTTGCACTTCCAATAGGGATTTCAATGTCGATAACAAGAGTTTTTGTTATGACAGAGCAACCGAAACGAGTGAAAGGAACATACACCTGGAATATCATCTAGAAGAAAGCATTAGGTGGAGATACGGTTAATTACATGAGTGTACCCCATAAAAGCTAAATAAGTAAAAGCAATTACATGATCTAATTGAACTTTGATTGTATCTTTATAGGTTCAGACTATATGTAATTATCTTGACATCGGCAAACAAGACACCATTCAACGATCAACACTGATCATTCCAGAAACTGCTCACTTCATTCGTTTGTGTATAATATTTAACTGAATAATATTGATATAATTTAACAAAAACTCTACACTCCAATGTCCTGCTATCAACTTGACTACATGACTCTGGAACCACGTGCAACACACATGTCGAGAGACTAGTCTTATTAAAATGTCTAAAAAACACAGATTGAGCAACTCTCTTCAGGTTTTCAACATACACCACTTGAGAACTGTATCATCAAAAATCCTAAATTAAATTTTCAATGAAGAAATAAGTACCTGAAAACCGAATCAGAAGAGAGAATTCCAAGATGGGTGTCACTGTAAGGGTGCCAACAAACCTTCAACGTGCGTATTGAGTTGTTTCTGTCAAAGTAGATCTCTGAACCAACTAGAACTGTCCTGTAACCGGCAACAGGAAATGAACACATTTAATGTGACTTCAAATGCACCACAACTGATTGTCAGAAAACAACATAATTACCCTCAAATATTGGTACTGAAGAAGTAGCTATCATGTCTATTTTGTTTTAATCTCCTAATACAGGTGAGAGGATAATCTGACTGGTTTACTCAAGGATAACAGTAATAAATATTCTTGAATCATAGAAAGAGACTCTTCTTCGTTTGACATTACCTGATATTACCCTTTACAGAACAGAATGTAAGTTAGGAGGTGCCAACAAAACCTGCATTCAATGACTATAAAAGTCCTCTATTTGATATTAAAATACAAACAAATTAAACTAAACCAGAGATACTTTGAAAAATATATATTTAATCTTTTTTTAATAAGGTACATAATATCATCAATGTGAGTTAACTCCTATATATAAGCAGTGTATCAAAGGGAGAAGAACCTACACAAGAGTATAATTCTCTAAAAAAATGACAAACTTTTATACAAAAGGAACCTCCTAGGTGCACCAGAGACTAACTAAAAACAATTGGCAATTTCTTAAATAGCAAAATTATTTCGTACCCCCTCAACAGTTCATATTTCTCTCTTTCCACAACTCCCACGTGATGACTAAGGCGGCAACATTCTATACTCTCCGACTTCTCTTCTTTCTAATAAAAACCCAAATATATAACATGTCCTTTATGGAACCAAGCATCACCGGTTGCACTCCAAACCAATTCGATATAACCCATTGCAGACATGCGGACACCTGGGCAAGGTGGCCTGGTGCACAAAGAAACCACCAAGGGGTGTCATGAACAGCAAAACTTAATGCAAGCATTAGTTGATCCACATCGTCGCTTGTGTAACCATCAATAGAACACCGGCTAACACATGTAATAATTCTCTTCCTCATGTAACACGTGTTCTCAGTTGACAGAATTACTCCATTGCTGCTAACAAGACTAAAAGCACACCTTTCTAGGCACCATAGGAATACTGAATCATCCTTCAACAAAAGCTTGTGGTGGCATAACTTTACAAAGAACGCACCATCACTTCTTAGTTCTTACCCTCCCCCTCCATGATAGCTAGTGAATGAATGCTCTATTTCTAGAGTATTTCTCCCAATGTTTGAAATCCGTCAATCTCTTATTCTTATAAATTCCTCTTAAATCTCAAGTTCCAATGAACTATCCTATCCTGTGCCATTCAAATCTGTTGCGCTGTCATCTCATTTTGGCTCAAGATTCTATGAGTTGGGGAGGCTCCTTAACATGTTCAGTCCATTCACAACCCTAGTGACCTTAAAAGCTAACTTTGCTACCACCCTTACCATATATGTAACGACGCTACTGAAGTCTTCTCATTCCTTTAGGTTGTTCCACCAAGGATAGCATCCATACGACAATTTAATGTTTCCAGTCCTCCATCCCCTTCCACAATAGCATATTTCCTTCTGATTACCTCCTTCTATAATATCTGGTCCTCAAAAATAACCCTATCCATTTATGAAACTGTGTCTTGTTGGAAACTCTAAAGTCATTCACTGCAGGATCTCCTTACTCTCTCAAAGAGGTTATGGTCTCCCAACTAACTAGGTAAAATGATGAGTACCTTCTGTTGAGTCCCATTAGAAATTCTTTTGAAGCCATTACAACTTCCCTATACTAAATGGAGCCTGCAAAGAAATATGTAATATGTGGGTATGCTTGATATTGTGCTCTTGACTAGTGCTTCCTTCCCCCTTTTGATGAATGTCTCTTTTGTCACCCTGCTAGTCACCTTTCAAATCTTTTAGTTACTGAATCTCACACAACTTGCCCTAATTTGAAACACCCAATGGCAATCCTAGGTATATGGTATGGAGAGTTTTATACGTACAATTGCACTTGTGCTAGGTGTTCAACATTGTCCACCTCATCCACGAAAATGATATCACTTTTTAAGTGTTGATCTTCAGCTTTAACACTACTTGGAATTATATGAAGGTCTATTTCAAGGAACTCAACTAGAAAATATCTTAACATATATCCCCATTAGATATACACTGGTATGTCATCAGCAAATAATAGGTGTGTGACCATCAGTCCATCACGCAACTATGTTCACTAATCAAGGCTGAGAAACTCTAACCTCCCGTCACAACTTCATCTATCATCCTACTTAAGACTTCCATCATCAAATTGTACAACAGAGAAAATAATGGACCCCTTACCCCAAGCCTCACGAGCTTGTCCACCAGCAATTGAGCACTTGTATGAGGTGGTCAACATGTCCACCTCGTCCACTGAAATGATCTTAATTTTTAGTGTTGATCTTCAACTTTGACACTACTTTGAATTATATGAAGGTCTGATTCAAGGAAAACAACAAGAAAATATCTTCATCACATACGCACTAGTATGTTAAACTGAAAAAATCTTCAAATAACCTCCTATCACAGTGTCATCAATCATCTTATTTCAAACTTCCATCACCAAATTGAACGGTATAGGAAATAACAAGGGCACTTAAGTTACACCACTCGAGCTTTCCATTTGCTCTTATTCCATAATAATAAAGCACTTCCCTCACTCAATATTATTAGACATTAATGTGTTGTGCTTAACCATCATCCCCACAAACACACACACACATATCTCATTATTGCATTTGTCATGAGCTCCATTAATGTAGTTTCTTGAAAGCGTAGTAGATTCACCTCCAATTTTCTAACACCTACTTGGATGATGGCTGTTTTTGTTTCTATCACCCAACCCCCTTGCAAAAAATATCTTTATATATCAATAGCTTATATATCCTTACAACAGCATCCCCTTTCCACTTCCATCATTCTCCTCATAGTCACCCATATCTCCTTTCGTACACTATAATTTTACCTCTTCCTCCTCATGGTTTGGCCAACCTAGTATCCCACCCCCCTTTCATCTCCTCTAACTCTTCTTGCCTTTTGAAATATCAATTAGCGACTCTACAACCATATCTTCCTTTCTTCAAAAAGAATCCCCTAGAACTCCCCAAAGTTGAGGAATCGTTTCCACACCCACTTTTTCATTCCCCTTCACCCATCATTGATGGCAAAAGGTTGGCCAGTTTCATCTATGTTCCTATTGCTTTCTTTCTCGAAAAATTATTCTCCCTGTCAAGCCTGACTTCACTGCCTAATTCTACTAGTTGATACTTCCCTATGAAGCATGTGTCTTGGGTGGTGGACCTCCTTAATTGTTCTTCTCGAAGATTGATTATCTTAGTCCTTCCAAATTACAACCTTATTCTTGTTGCATGTTTATTATACCCTTAGTTGCGCGGACTCTTCACTTTTGATGCCGCACCCGTCTCGGATTCTTCAAAAATACACTACTTTTGGCGAATCCGACACGCACCCGTTGGCATTTTTGAAGAGTCCGAGCAACATAGTATTTATACCTTGAGAATCAAGCTAGTACTATTAGATTTAATAAGAAAAAATAGCTATGCGAGAAAGTAAGCCCCACAAACCAAAGTGGCAAAAAAACAAATACAATTTGTTAAGGAAACCAGCTAACAGAATATTATTTTATTTTATTTTTTTGATGAAGTAAGAAGAATGTCATTAACAAAGCATCAAGCAGATGCACAGATTACAAAAGGAAGAAATATCAGCTCCCAAAAAGGCAAAAAAAGCTATCTAAACAGCTAACAGCAGAGATCTATGGAGCTGATAAATTCTAGGAAAGAATCGACACTAAGTACAGGAGAGAGATTAACCCAACCAAAATGAGTAATCAAACATCTTGCTTTAAAGGTAGAGATGGGAGTTGGGGTGCCATCAAAACATCTTTTGTTCCTCTCCGTCCATAAGCACCACAAAATACAGGCTGGAACCAAAGACCAGATATGCTTGACGGACTTCCCAACTTTCCAAGAACTCCAACACACAAAAGCCTCTCTCAATGATCTTGGCATGACCCAAGTGAGTCCAAAAAGTGAGAAGAACATGTTCCATAGGCCTGTTGCAACTGTGCAATGAAGGAACAAGTGATTAATAGATTCTGAGTTGCACAAGCACATGTAGCATCTGTTGACTATTTGGAATTTCCTCCTCATGAGATTATTCTGAGTCAAGCAAGAGTCTTTTAGAGTAATCCAACTGAAACAAATAACTTTAGGTGGCAACTTAGTTCTCCAGATTAATTTCCATGGCCATTGATCAATTACGGTCTTCTTGGAGCTTTGTTGAAGGTAGCATGCTTTAACTGTGTAGGATCCATCCCTGCTATGTCTCCATATAAGTTTGTCCCTGCGTTGACTGTTGATTGCACTAGTCTGAATGGTGGCCATAAGGCTAAAAACCTCTTCTCATATTACATATGAGAAGATAGAAATGGAGAAAATAATAGCCAAAATAGGATACATTTCACTTGCTAGAGAACAAAGATTGTGTAAAGTGTAAAGACTTTATTGATAGTTTCATTCAATGAATGAATGGAAGTAGTCAAATTCTCTCCCACCCCTCACCCCAACCACCTTAAAAATATAGTTTTATTTAAAGAATGGAAGCAGTCACATTCCCCCCACCCACCCTAAAATTAATTCTACCGAAAACTCTAGTGATTTACCAACTTCGATATTTTTAGCATATGCCCACCTACCACATTGACCAAAGGAGCTTGAGGTAAGTACAAAAATTGCATGCAAAGAAAGTACATAAAATCCATTGTTGTTGTTTCTCAAATTTATCATATATTGAGTTGACTAATAATCAACCCATTTCATTAAACCTCCAACCAAGCAAATTTGCATACTAGCTAGGTTCTTCTTCACCAACCTTCAATCTTCTAAAACTTCTTCTACGTCAAGTGTTGGCCAAGTCAAGGCTTCCTTGTAAATTTGTGACTTAAATTTATGGACTTCTAGAGAGAAGTACGAGTCACTCTCGCCTTCCTTCATTCAACCAAGGAATCATGAGAAATTCAAGAAAAGGACAGCTAGAAAGTGTGTACAGATGGAAAAGGATAACCTAGGTGACTCCCTATCTGGGTTGTTGGATATCATTGGAATATCCCTCATGAATGTGTAAAGTTGACTCATCGAACATTTTCACCTTCTTGGCACATGTCTCCTCTAGAAAAGTCTTGACTTCTTGGGTAGTTTGGTTATGCTCACCCAAATGTTTTTTTTGATAAAGGTAACTATGCTCACCCAAATGTTTTGAGTTTAGAGATGTAGTCGATGATCAAAAAGGCTTGTCAAAGTTGTTCTTTTCTCTCTCCTCCATCTACCTAGCTAACAACTAGTAACTTCTTCCTTTTTATTGTCAAGTTCTTGAAAATTGTAGCTTTTCCAAGGTGAAAGAAGAAAGAGAATCCAAAAATCATAGAGAACAGTATGTCATCTGAATATTCAAAGCAAATCGAAGGCATAAGGAAAATGATCATAGAAGGGTAACAAACGAGAGTCTGGGAGTAGTAAGAAAAATTGGTATCACCATTATTGTAATTGAATATGCTACTTGAGATTTCCAGCCATAAAGAGTAGAGATGGCTTATGCAAAATGCATCAGACCATTCAATTGAAAAGTGGCTTGCTCATTAGCACAGATCCATTACTGCTCATTTATGGCATATCAGGATAACTATACCATCATTTTATATTTTCAAACACTTCTATTTCAAACCAAGGAAAATAAGCCTATTATAGTCCACCAGAAAACCCGAAAAGCCAAATTTTGCAATTACTTGCCATATTTGAGCTTCTAACACACCCAAAGTGCTTCTTAAATATAATATTTCTTCCCAAGAATCCCAAAAACCGTTTTTACAAAGATTCAGGAGCCATTTAGGTGTGACCTCATATCAATATCATCATTGATGAGCAATGCTAGAACAAGGAGATATCCTAACAGATGGCATTACTCGTTGCAGACACGTACAATTCTGACCTGCCTCTTGCCCTTGAATTAACGAAAATATTAGCATGTAATTACGGATTCACAGGTCTCTTGATGAATGAGAAATCCCAAAAACATAAATAAGCAAAGAAAAAAACAAAGTTCTCATTAAAAGCCAATAATCGTAAACAGCAGTCAACAAGCTGGGTATCCTAGAATACGTAGCTTACGGAGCCATTCCAAGAGGAAACTGCATATGCTGAGATGCAAGATCAAGAATAGTTTTCAAAAACAAATGCTACATACAAAATTGAATTTTTTTTTAAAATGGAAAGATGGTTTCAGATAGCTATACCAGAAAATTCATAATTTCCTCCAGGCAACCAGGAACAGAAGTGCATAGGACTGGTTAAATACATATGGTGCTTCCGAACTCCAAAGATAAAGGAGAATGTACATTTCAAATGACAAATAGTTGCAAATCACAATAACACTATTGTTTGAAACACACTGGAGTCCAAAGCAAAACATAACCATACAAAACCAAAATGAGGAAGTTATACCGGCAAATAATTGTATTTTCTTTTGTCGAAGTCCTCCCATAGAGATACATGACGTATAAACCATCCAAGCCAACTAGGAAAAGTGCTGATCCATTTCTGTTAATGGAAATTCGCTGAACCTCAGAATTCAATTGCACATCAGCTTGCAGTACCTAAGCAACAACCAGCACCATCAAATACATAGCTAGAACAATTAGTAGCTTGATATCAGGTAGAAGTAGTACCAATGCACTTCAAATATTGGTGATGAATCCGTCTCTCCCTCTTTTGGGTTTTTAAAATAAGGGAGGAAAGAGAAAGAATGAAAGAAGTGGATTGAACATTGGGGCTGAATTGAATATTTATTAATCATAGAGGAATGGGGGTGTAGGGCTATGCATGTTAAAGGTGCAATAGAAGTTGGAAATCAGTCAAACCAGTATAGGTTAACTATTGTTGTCACCTTTGAATCAACTAATCCCTATATGTTACAAGTAGATTGTTGAAAATGTTATAACCCTCCTCTATTCAAGCAGTCAAGTTCAGTTTGCTAAGAAAAGTAAAACATAAACATGGAATGGAGATTTGTACATAAGAAGTTACCTTAGAGGGAGAAGCTGCAAGGAGGGAAGTAGGATCAGGTTCGCCCAATCGAACAGAGAGTCGATGCAGACAGGTTTTGTAAGAGTCCCAAAAGTAGAGACGAGAAGCTCCGTCCCAAGCTAAAAGATTTTTGGGCATTGTCAAGGCTCTGTCTCCATCCCTATCCCTGTCCGGCGGAGTAGAAAAGACAGGGTGGTGTTGTAAGGGTAGCCATTCCACATCTTCAGATTGACGGCCACCATCCTCCTCCTCGAAATTGTATCTCATACTCCTTCGATTCTCCCGCAAAACCAAATGTAAATTGTTTATTGCCTTTTCAAAAATATGTGAGGGGTTCCTGTGCTGAGCATGGGCCCAATCTGGGGAGCAAGCAATGGGAAAGAAAAATCAAATAGATAAAAAGAGGCTGACAAAGAGGATCACCAACCGAGTGTAATGAGAAATTATGATGACATGAAGAATATAATATCTATTTGTGTGATTGATAGACACTGCAATTTTGACATTTCCCAGAGAAATCAATCCAAAGTTAGCAACTTTAATATATCATTCAAAAAGAGGTACAAAGCACGCACGCACGGGGGTTTAATGTATTTAGAGGCCTAAATGATGTCACTGTTAACAACAAAGATCAATGTATATATTCTTCTCACTATCTTATTGACATAATCCATTGTATTATCTTGTATACAAAGGAGTGACTACACTCTCACAAGTCACATATAACCAGAAATTTGCAAAGATCTGTCACTGAAGCTATAGCAGAAGAATTCAGGAACAAGAGGTTAATTCTGTACTTGAGCAAAAGGAGCAGTCTATCTTGATGACCCAAAACTATCAATGGAGCAGTCTATCTTTAGGACTGGCTTTCTTTCATGTCAACATACATACTTTATAAAGTAGCGATAAATGCTTAGTTGAGGGTCATGACAAAGAAGCACCTACTTATAATGATCAATTGCAATAGAAATAATCAAATCAAGAACCAAAAAAATGGATTTTTTATGCGCAGAGTACTACTATCGGAACTTGTTAATATCAAACTCACACAAAAAAAAACTCCAATAAACAAAGCAGACAAAGATAAGAAAGTAGAGACTCCGAATACAGTAGCCTTAAAACTCCAATAAACAATGCAGTGGCTAATCCTGAATTCTTCGGAGAGGATCTTTGCAGAACCTGCATTAGTATCCAAACTGTAATGCTGGGTCTAACCATGCTCAAACTTTGGCTGCTCAACAAACATTAGCCAAACTGTAATGCTGGGTCTAAAAAAATATGAGCCCAAAACTCAAAAAACCACCTTTTTTGGTGGCTCAGTTTTGTTTACTGTAACCAAGCAATTCACACTTTAGTTCATGTAACATAGAAATCATCCATTATCGAGTACTTTTCACCACATCAGTTCAACTTATATGAAATGCATATCGATTTCAGCAATTTATTCATGTTGTTAAGCAAATTTAAGTATTTAACCAATTACCACATGATCAATCTACAACATTTGCAGTATCTTTCCTGTCAGATAGACAGAACAGACATATTTGTGCACTAAATTATATGTCTACTACTATTTCTCTAGTTGGATGAACCATGTCCCATGGCATTTGGTTCATTCATTTACTACACACCAATTCTACTTCATTAAACCATTAAAAAGATTGTCTTTCTTAACTTATCTCACAATCAAGAATAGCTTATCTTGGAAGAAAAAAGCTAAGTTGCACGGTCTCTTCACTTTCGATGCCGCACCCGTGTTGGATTCTAAAAAAATACTACATTTGGAGAACCAGACACACACCTGTTGACATTTTTTGAAGAAGAGTCCGAGCAACATAGGGAAAAAGGCAAACCAGTCACCAAAAAAATTATCTTCAAGTTTATTTCCTCAATCAAAAGAAGCTCATCATAGGAGAAACAACGCGAAATTGAACAAATTCATCGAAACAATTGTCAAAAAGGCACAAGAACACCAGTAGCAACAGATTGTCCTGTATGCCATTCAAGCACCCAAAAAAATGACTCTTTGATAAAAAAAAACAAAAAGCCATAGCTATATAATGAAAACTTTTTTTCCAACTTGAACTACTAAAACATTAACTAACCACATACCAATGTGAAATATACAGCAGTATTGAGGGCCATTAAATAAGTTAATTAAGGTAGTTCAAGATTTTATTCAAGGCAACAACAGCTGGAACTATTAAGTACCAACAATGCCCCTGAAACAGCTGGCTACCAATCCCCTTGGAGTTAACACTGGCTATAATATCATGTCTTGCTAACTTAGATACTCAAGATAAGCAACAACATGCGAAAACATTCAGATATTCAATGATAGAACAAACACAATTACCTTTTGCTTACAGTTGTAGCATAAAAAAGACCTCTTGCTTACAGTTGTAGCATAAAAAGAACTCTTGCTTACAGTTGTAGCATAAAAAGAAATTGACATACCAGCATACACACATGCACAGAGATTACAGACCTAGTCTAGAAGTAGGAATACATCTTTTATGTTGCTGAATGATAGATGTATATGTTATTCCCTGGTGAAGATCATAGATATGTATGTTGTAGAATACCTGTAAGAAAAATTGATTCTTTGAGGCATATCATCAAACATCCTGACTACATAGGTGTGTCGCAGAATAAAAATCCACGAGTAAATCATATTAGCAACATCTTTCCACGAGATATCATGTCCGTCTAACTCATCCTCGTTTGTCCATGTGCTTTTTCTTTGATTATTTTACTTTTAAATTTTTAAAATTGTATTAATTGATTTGATTTCTAATAAATAAAAATCAAATTGGGTCGCACTAACACCACCTCTTTGAATTAATCCCTATAATCTTACAATTGAAGAAGAAAACAAGTATAACAAAGGATTTTTCTTCTGCAAAGAGATATATTGAATGAAAGAGCTAGTAATAATTGAAGGTCAAAGACAGGACATTTACCTATAAAAATGACCAATTATTTTTCTGCCAGAAAACATAACACATGAAACAGGAAGAAGGCAAAATCAAAGAGCAGAAATTAAGCATTCAAGAGTCATAAAGCACCACATAGAAGGAGATAAGGGCAATCCCAGTAAAACTGAAAGCATACAGATCTTTTGTGTAAAGACCAACATCCTTTTCCAAGAAAATTCCTCTATCTAGTATCTACCAAAGAAAATGTTAAACCCAACAAAGACCCATATGCTAAAAACAAATATGCAGGCCATGGAGAAAAGAAGAAGTGCAAAAGGAAAGAAAAGCTACCTAAAGATAGGACCTGATGTCACAAAACTGAGAACTTTGGGGATTTTGTTTCAGCGATGCACAGAAGCTTTGAGGGTAGGGCTGGGCGTTGGTCGGTTCGGTTTTCGGTTTGGCAAAAATGTGAAACCAAACCAAATTGAAATAAATTCGATTCGGTTCGATTTATTTCAGTTTGGTTTTCGATTTAACCAAATTTAATTAACAGTGGCAAAAATTAAAGGAAGTTGATTTATTTATACTTAACAAGGATGGATAGTAGTCACTAATTTACCATAAGCCTCATTAGGATCAAATGCTTTGATATCCTCCACATACAAATGCACCGGAAAACAGCCACAAGCATGCTTACAGATATAAGCTAACAGTAACTAAAACTCTAAAAGATGATAGACATTAGACACTCATGAATCAACACTACTTCATGAATACTTATTTAACACAAATGGCAACAGAGTTGCAACTTAATTACAGAAAGACGCAGTACATTACAGTTCACAAATCACACAAATAATCACATAGTTGCATACTTGCATTCAATGATTAAAAAAACAATAGAGGACACAATACATTTTTTTTTCATATTCTTGTCATGGGTTTTCATCAGATTTTGCCCTTAATGTGTATCTAACAATTTCTTTTGTTGTTTCATTTCAAGAGTCTCTAACAATGCTTACATATTTTTCTCTTCTAGAGTGCTACACTGCTACTCGTGTAATCGTGTTGTTTTCCACAAGTTTATTAGATTCCGTTATTAATTTACCATCAAAATAAAAATTTCCAGATGAGAGTTGGGACGCAATGAGCACTGACCTTCGAGGCGCGAGGCGCGAGCAAGCACTGAGCAGTGGCCAGTGAGAAGCCTTGCGGGCTGCGAGCACTCGGCAAGAGTCAGAGATGAGAGTTGAGAGGCAACGAGCTAAGAGACGACGGGTTGCGGCGTAAGTCGTAACTAATTATTCCAAGTGGAGTGAGGAGTGACAACTGACGACAGAGAGTTGAGAGATGGGAGTTACTGTCTCAGGTAGGGATTTCAGATTATCAGTTTAGGGATTTCGGAAATTTGAAAGTGAAGTACCATCTAAAAGCATGACTGTACAATTAAGTATATATAAATGAAAAAACAAAAATACCCCCAACTCTAGTCTAGTTAAGAAGAGAGCCTTTTTTTTTTTTGTTTCTCACCCGGTGTCCGGAGCTCCAATGTGACTAAATCTGAATCGCGCTCTGCAGGGCCCATTCGGAGGTAGCGCTCCCAACAAGATTTTTTCCATACCCAAGACTCGAACCCGAGATCTCTAATTAAGGATGAAGCACTTTCATCACCACAACTCATGTTGGTGTTAAGAAGGGAGCTCAACACTCCTTTGTGTGTATATATACTAGTACTAGTAAAAGGGTAGTGCACGGGCCCAATAATATTGTGCTAAACATTTATATAGTTTTAAAAATTATAATTTTTAATATAATTAATTATCAAGTTATTTGAGTAATTATTTTTTATATCATTTTTTTCATTTAATTGAATGAATTTTACTCTCTCAAAAACTGTTTACATAAAAGGATTATATTATTTATTTTTATATGAGACAAATTAATTTTATTAAGAGTTAATTTTATTAAATTAAAATTATTAATTATGTTTTAAAATTTTATTTTTGATTACTATTATTTTATAGCGTTATTTAACAATGATAGTACATCCTCGAAGCATGATGACTCACCAAAACCTCAAAATATCTCAAAGCAACCTCTAGCCACGAAACTCAGTACCCTGACAGCCGGAGCCGGAACCTACATTTGGGAAAATGTAGGCAAGAGTATGCGTTAGTACAAAACACTGTACCAAGTATGATAACCATGCATAAAACATTTAAAACATGCTAAAAGGGACATTTCATTTCATGACATGCAATTGACTAAGCTAAAACATGACATAAAAGAGTTACAAAACATAAGTCATAAAATCATGGTCAATGCAAGCTAACTTTATCTTTAAAACCTTTGAACTCATATGCGATACTTCTTGAAGTGACACCCATCTTGGAATTCTCTCTTCTGATTCGATTTTCAGGTATTTATTTCTTCATTGAAAATTTAATTTAGGATTTT